AAGATACTCCAGAGCGGGAATAAGGAAAAGTTCAAGGAGTTCATATTGTCGCGTATAATCGAGTCGGTGAATTGAAAGAAACCATCGTTCCTTGCTTAGGGAATAAATATCGAGTCTCGAACGAACGTTATCATTTATTTTATATGATTTTTGTATAATGTTCGATGAGTGAATGATACACGAGGGAATCGTTAGAGTTAAGGTATCCCCGCAATGGCATTCAAAGAGGAAGGAAAGAAGAGAGGGCGGATATATTTAATTCTTTCGTCATTGCCAAACGCGGATGCACAGTACGCATCCATATACGTATACATATGAATATATTATAATATTATATGTTTATCATAGAAGAACGACGTATATCGAACCCCTTTTTGATCTATTTAGATGAACGTACCCGAGTCAGAAGGAGAATAGGGAACAACCCCTGAAATTGACTTCGATCGCGTTGGACACAAAGATTGTTGATATTTTGTCCGTTCATCCGTTTCTGAATGAAAATCAGTTTGACTCGATAATGGGAGGAAAGGTGTCGAGACAAATTTTTTTCATTCATTCTTTGTATATGTATGGGTAGAGACGCCATAGGAATTGCGATTAGAGAACGAAACGAAAACGAAGAAGAGGGTATGAGAGGGAGAGAATTGGCGAATTGATGGTGAAAAAAACGTCGAATCGAATTACAATTTCAGGGTTCTCTCGAGACCTCTTCTTTTCTGTATCGAGAAGTTTTAAGTACGGAGATGCAAGATTTTTAGAGGTATTAGTGACTTTTTTAATCAAAAAAATTATGGAGAGAACAAAATCGAAAAGATATATATATATATATATATATATATACGTATAATGTATATATATTATATATATATATGTATATTTTCTATACGATTCGATATCTCTTTTCCTTCGTTGATGAAATCGATCAAGAAACACCCACTTCTCGACGATGGAATTTTTTCAGTGCAATAATTTTTTAAAAAATTGTCGAGAGATACAATGTAAACGTACATACATAGATATACGAGACATATTCGCGTGTTTGTTATTAATTAATTCGGCGAGAGTTAAATGTTTATATATGCGAGTAATTTAGTTGATCGATCGATCGCTTGATTTCACGGCCTACTATTGCGATTACTTTTCACGTAGACTTTCGTTGCGTCTTTGGATTGTATAATTTTTAGCGACGTATGATATGACTTGTTATTTACCGTTTACCTTTCACGTGTAACAATTTATTACGACCATATTAAAAACGATAAATAAAAGGGCACATCCTGACGAAAATATATGAATGGTGTGAATTGTGTGGTAGAATAATTGGAAATATGAAAGATACGAGAAGAAGCAGTGCAATATTATCCCCCCGTTCTTTCAGTTTCATCTCATCAACAGAGAGAATTGGCCTTCTTGGAATTCTTTCAAAGATTTTTTTCTAAAAAAAAAAAAAAAAAGAAAAGAAAAAGAAAAAGAGAAAAATAATAATAACAATCACACGCACATTCATCTCTTCTCCTTATCGACCCATCACTTTTTTTTCATTCAGCACTTTTTTATTTCACTTATTTTGCTTTCTTCCAATCTAAAATCGACGCAGGAGATTCAGGCGAGCTGCGCGGACGTGTGCGAGAGCTGCGAAAAGAAAGTGTACCCCCTAGAAAAGGTGGAGACAAATAACAAAATATTTCACAAACAGTGCTTCCGGTGTCTGCAGTGCAATTGCGTGCTAAGGTAACGTTACAATCTTCCCTGAGACTTTATCTCTCTGTTCTTCTTTTTTTTTTTTTCCTTCCTCGCAACAGACCATATTCCCCTCTTTTTTCTCTTTTCTTTTCTTTTCTTTTCCTGCAGCACCAACCGATACAAAATCTATAAATAGAACAATCAAATAAACGATCGTTTTTTCCCAAACAGGATGGACACGTTCACCTTAAATAATGGTAAACTCTACTGCATCCCACATTTCAAACAACTGTTCATCACACGAGGTAATTACGATGAAGGTTTCGGCGTGGATCCACACAAGAATAAATGGACGACCAGCTCGAGCAATCCGACGAGTCCATCGCCGATCGCAGTATCGAATGGCGATCTCTGATTTTGCGAGTTGTAATTAGACGAAGAAGAAGAAAGGAAAAAGAAAGAATGAAACGTATAAAAGCCTCGGAAGGCTGTAATGTCGAATAGAGCCAGAATTGGTCGGGCATACAAAAATCCGTGGATAATTTCAATTTTCCAAAGATGATTGCCAGGCCATTTGCGAATCGATCGATAAATCGTTTTAGCCTCCTCTCGACTTATGCGACTGATCGTGCGTTGATTATGATATTTTAATCGACAAGACTCGCGACGAGGATTTTAAGACGTTCCACGTCCTCCCTATTCCTTGCTCTGTCATTTTAAGTATTTTATTTTTTAGACTTCTAGATCCCTATTGCCAATGCTCTATTATAAATTCCGCTTAAATATTTGTTACATTTATTATTAATATTATTATTATTATTATTATTATTATTATTATTATTATTATTATTATTATTATTATTATTATTATTAATATTAATATTATTATTTTTTACTTCTATAACTTTTGGTATTATTTTATTATATATGTTGTATAATACAGAATTTCATTGCGCTTTATAATACATATTGTGTCATCCATTCATTTACCTCTTTTTAAACAGACTATTGGAATTTGTTATATTATAACAATTTCTTTTTTCTGAAAAGAATAAAAAAACTCATGCGAATATATATGTTTAATTTAAAGCATAGGTAAAAGATGCAAATTATTGAAAAGGAATAAAGAATATTAACCTCTGAGTAATTTTAGAAATAATGTACCAAATGTAAAGTTGAGAAATCCTCCCCTGAGATTTAAAACTGAAGATCTTTAAAAGATTAGTAACCAGATATTTTAACTACTTGTTTAAAAAATCTCATGTGCTTGATTTTCTTTGTGCAAATAATTAAGTAGGTTAGGTATATCTATTGTACAAAAAATTTTTGTTATAAATTAATAAATTGCTACAAAATAATTAATCATATAAGATAAATACTGAATTAGAAATATTAATAACATTTTATTGTATAAATACGCCTAAATTATGTTAATTTTAATAATAATATTGATTGCTTTACTTATTGGTTTTAAAATAGTGCACTATTTTAATAATCATATTGTCAAATTTATGCCTTCTATGTATATTCTAATATTGTCTCCGTTCAATCAACTTTTTATTAATTAAATTATTAATTAAATTATTCTATAAATAAATATACTTTATACATTGAGATAAGATGTTTTGCTTATCTTCTACAAATTTGACAAACAGTTCAGTATATTTCTGCAGATGGCAGAGTAATCGTATTAATGCGATCACCGCGTTCTTCACGTGCATTTCTTATTTACATCTTTGTGCTCCTTTTCGTTTATTTCGATTCAACAAATATTGTCACAATCACAAAATCTGTTCTAACTTCAACATTAACTGTAGTGATAAATAATAAAGTGACACTTTCGAAACAAAATATTCATCACACTGTGATAACATTGCTTCTTCACTTATCCCTAGACATAAGCAGCTAGTGACTTTATTTTCTGAGAAATTGGCAACATTTTCTAACAAACAGTAAGCATTCAATTACCATTATTTAAATCACTTTCTATAAATTCTTGTGCAATGCATTCAATATTTCAGATGGAAATTTGCATAGATTCTTTAGAATCAGCGAAAAATGCAATCGAGGGTGGTGCAACGAGGCTCGAAATTTGTTCTGCCCTTTCCGAAGGTGGCTTAACACCCACTCCTAGCTTTTTACAAAAAATTAAGAGTTTTTCATCTATTCCAATTTATGCTATGCTTCGAATACGTTCCGGAAATTTCGTATACACGAAAGAAGAAATGGAAGTCATGTTACAGGATTTAAAAATATTAAAAGATTATGGCGCTAATGGTTTTGTCTTTGGCGCATTAACGCCAGATAATGAAATCGACGTGGAATCTTGCAAGGATATTCTTTCAGTTGCTCAATCATTACCAGTAACCTTCCATCGGGCCTTCGACGAAGTCAACGACCCCTTAAAATCTTTGAAAATATTAATAGATTTAAAATTCGAAAGAATCCTAACTTCTGGACAAAAAGATACCGCAGAAGAAGGATTAGAATTGATAAAAAAACTCGTTCAAGAGGCTCAAAATAAAATAATCGTAATGCCAGGTTCTGGTATTACTAAAAAAAATATCTTGAAAATAAAGATGATATCTGGGGCGAAAGAATTTCATGCATCAGCTAAGAAAAAGGTGGTAATTCCGTATGGTATAAATAGAGTTAAAATTGGTACTAATAAAGAAACTTACATCACAATGACTGACAAAGAATTAGTGCGAGAAATGGTTCAAATTTTATTGAACACTATGTAGTGTTCACGGTGATAAATTACGCATTTTTAAATCGAAGAATATTTTGCTTGAAGTCACGAACCTGTTTCTTTTATATAACTGGTTTTTCGATAAAAAATTAATAGCCAAAAAAAATACAATACCAGATTATTATTATTATTATTTATGAGAAATTTATATTCTTGTATATTAATTTAATTAATAAAAAAAATATTAAAATTAAATATTATTTGGAAATTGTCTTTGTGTTTTATAATAAAATATTCAAAACGAGAAAATACATCGACATAAATATAGAGAGAGTATATGTTTCTTTAATTAATGTTTGGAGCAACTTTTGCATTTACATATTCATTCAATGATGTAATCTCGCAAACAGATTAATTGAATAAGATATATTAGTTTAAAAAAAAATTGAGAAATTATTATACTTTTATTAATTTTATAAAAATATAATTATTTAGCTCAATTACGTATGATACTATAACAAGTATCCTTAGAATACAAATATATTTTTACTACACAATAAATTCAAAAAATGTCATTATCATCCTCATTTAAATTGTAATGGTTTCATAGTACTTGTACATAAATGGAATCTGTATTACGTGTTAAAAATTATGCATGAGACTGCTTATTTCATGTCATAAATGATAGGTAACAATTATTCAATGATTCACAACTGATGAAATTATCTTGAAGTTTTTTTTTATGCAAACAGAAAGTTGACTCGTCGAAATTCTCCTCTTGAAATCTTCATTTCAACATCGTTACTCTTTCGAAACTAATTGATTCTTACGATCCTAACATTATTCTATATTTAATATATCGTTATAAATATTATATTATAATTTTAAAATTAAAGAATAAAAATCAGATAAATTTCTATTTCAATTCCTACATATATTTTGTCGCAGAATCATTTTTACATTTTGATGAAAGATCGCGAAAAATTATATTTTAGACCGGAAATGATCGATTGCACAGTATCATGACGATAGCTTTTCACAAATTATCCAAGAGAGAGACAAGTGTCGCAAGCAATGCAATAATTTCGCGGTAAATATCTTTGCGACCAATTTGGAATTGCAAAAGTTTGCGCAACAGTTCAATGCATAAGGGGTCCTTGCACACGGAAAATAACGGCACTAACGATCAACTGTAGACTGCGCACTTTCGATTTACGACATATCATGGCGAAAAGTGCGTATATGCACGCATACAAACCCATGTCCGCCCAACGATATGTAAAATCGAAAGCTACTTTAAACGTGTATATAGTATGTGAAAAAAGCAAATACAAAGTCAGAATCCATGTATGTACATTTGTAACACATATGTACAAGTTTCATGGTGCAATCATAAGGATCGCGCGTGTGCACATTGGCGTCAGTGAACGTGAATTTGAAAATAGCCTCAAAAGATAGATGTAAATAACGAGAGGAAAACAAATGTTTCAAAAGCTAACATTAATGTATAATTTCGTAAGAAATTTCAATTTCTTATCTATAGATTTTAACCATTTTATAAATTTATGAAAGAAATCTCAAGCACGATTAATGTTTTTTAATAAAACAATGATATCAAATTATGTGAAATATCATTAATGAGGTTAAACACTTACCACAAATCAAGTGGCGCGCAACGACAGTTCAGTCAATGAATAGATCCAATTAAATATCAGAAATTATTGAATTAGATAGAAAGACACTCGCAATCTGAAAGTCCTATGCAAATCAATTATCGAATAATAAGCAATGGATAGTTTAAAGTCGATCAACTAGTTACTTACTTGTAAAAAGGATAGAGAAAAACATGATCTTTGGAATCTGGCACGAAGGATCAAGGGGTCGTTTTTTCTAGCAATGCTACCAACTGCGCCGGCGCCCATGAGTTGACCGGTGGAGAGTGTACTTACCGCCAAGACGCGCGCGCATATACCCCTGCAAGGTACGTTGGCCTAGAATGTGTTAGTGCGTGGACACTGTACTGGTGGCTGTAATATTGCTCAACTGGATTCGTCTCTCAGTGCAAGAAAGACGTTCAAACGGTTCGGTTGTCATCATTTGTGCATTTCGACTTCGTCCTTTTTCCTCCTTGTGACTGCGATATAGTTTCATTTCGTTTTAATCCCCTTTGTCTCATCTCACAGTGATCCATAGTTCTCTTTGTGTAACCTACAATTAACACAAAGGAACATTCGAATTCGATTTGGAATACATTTTCGTCACTCATTATTTACAGAAATGCAAGATTATTTCAACATTATTATTTAGTGCGTGATAGTGTTCGTAACTTCATATCGAGAAACATTTTTTTCTATTTATGTGCGAATCCTTTGATTGTATGTTGTGCGCAGACATGTTAAAAAGTACAAACATCGTTATATCATACATGTGTTATCAAGAATTTGCAAAAATCTTTGTCTAAAATATAGACGATTATATTATTCATCATACATCAAGAGCTTTCATAAGAATTTGCTGAAGTATAATAAGCAAATTTGTAAACTACAATATCATAGAGGTAACTTTGTTAATATTTTAAAATAATTTGTATTGCATATAAAACCTTATAGAAATCGCGTAAGAAATCTATATCTAATTTATTTGAGATTCGATTTCTTACAAGTATGGAGACATATATATAATACATAGTATATTTCGAGTCTATATTTCGAATGAAAAACATAAAATGTTTTAACACTTTCCATTTAACTTAAAAAAAAAGCAGTATGACATATTCATTCATGATACAACGCATACGCGTGCTTAATCTTATGAAATCAAAGAGGTGACAGGTGAAGTCGAGGAAGTATAACGAGGAAAAGTCGTACGAGTATCAAATTCATACGTATATACGAATATACGAACATACGTATATAGTCTCGTTATATATCTACGTTATACAGCAACGTTATAGAAATTTTCCAAACTTTCGTAATATTTTTACAAAACTTTCTGTTGGGTTTATTATAGTTGACCTACTTCTGAAAGCATACATTCTTTTAAAAATCTTTATATTATAAATCTTAATAAATAACAATATATCGAATTATACAATAGACCTTCTCAAACATTATATTTGACACATTAAATATGATCTTTAATATTGACAGATAGAAGATATGATTTGATAATTCTTCATCGAAATTCATCAATAACTTGTTTTTCAAAAATTAAAAAAATTCACGGCATTTTTCAAAATCTTGAAAGTTATCTGTTAAATTATAATCATAATTGCATCGTTTACGATACTTTCGTGTCATTAACAATTCTAATTGATTCAAAAACATATTTTCCAAGAATATTTATGGTTTTTTATCTTAATAGATAAAATAACACTTTCGATTTTTTGAATACAAACAACCTGATTCTAACTTGAATAATCCAGGTTACGTGCGTAGAACGAGAGATGCATTTCTATCACGTATTTTCATCGTTCGTGTCGTTTATCCACGTGGCGTGAGTGAATTGAGAAAGCCAATACCAGACTCCTTGAATCCGTTCAGAGTGTCTAACGGTACTCTTATTCTTTTTTTCAAACTGTTGCTCGATGATGACACGTAACACCAAAGAACGAAATTCCGACTTTTACCAGTTTTATGTAAGATGAAATGGAATTTATCGAACAGTACAGAATAGTAATTAAAGCATGTTATGTGACACACGTGCAATACTTTCACATAACATGCATGGATACGTAAACTGCGTTAGATCATTGTATCAATGGTCTATGCGCAGAATTCAAGTATTCTCGTTTTTTTTAATTTACTGACATCTCGTGGACAACAGTAAATACTACTTAAATGGAAGCTCACAAAATGGCCGATAGATAATATTTTTATCGTTATGGCATGTTAGAGTATACTATTTTAATTATACTAATTGTTAAATACAACATTAAATTATCGATATTTATTCACTTTGTACTGTTTTATGTTGAACTTCCATCGTTTATATCGTTACTCTTTATTTCGTAGAATTTGCCAACCTGACTCGATAGCCAATCATCTATTTTGTATTAGAAGCATGTATCTTTATGCGGAAAGGACCGAAATGCACGATAGTATTTGCGATTTAAAGAGTTTCAAATATTTCTTGAACAGAAAATCAAATTATTGCAAGATTTGTTCGATGAATAGTGAAAATAATACTCATAATTAATGTTTATTGAATATGATAATAAAATTAAATTGTAAAATTAGCATTAGTAAATTATTTACATTCTATTATTTTTTAAATCATTAAATATTTATCTATACAATATTTATATATCGAGCAAATTAATTTCGATGAAAAATATATTAATTAATCCTAAATGCAGCTAAAAATAGTCTGCTGAATATCAAGCAGACCGAATCAAACAACATCGATCGCAATAACAAGCATTTTCGTAGCACTTCCGCTTAGACTGACGGAAGCTCTACTTTCTTGCGCGGTCAATGACGTGTAGGCTATTGGTGATTACAATAGGACTATTATTTGAATAGTTAGACGATCCGATCCCATGATTAAATGATCTAATTGAATCTCGAAATTAAAATTTAAATCTCGACAGAATTTTTATTTCAGTCTATTAATCACTTATGAATGAAATTAAGGTACGATCAAATTTATATTTGAATATGTACGAAAAATTACTTTTTGAAGAATACGATCTCAATACGATAATTCGTTTGAAAGAAGATATTCTCGACCGAGATTCTCGATTTCCATCGTTTCTGGATCAAATATCTTTTTATGGATTTCACGGTCAAGCGATCACGAACTCGATCATCGTTCACCATAACAAAATTCTTTCTTCGAAATTTAAAATTTTTAAAAGATCTAAAGATTTCCACTTTTTAACCTTGCGTGAGATATATAATTTATAAGATATAAGAGACATTATAATTTTTACCTTGACACCAATTTTATAATTAATATATAATTTGATATTTATAGACAATAAGAAAACATGTTTATTGTAATTAACGATTCCAAAAGCGGCGGAATTTTCATTCTCTCGGATAAAATTCTCTGTAAGTTCCTTGTACTTCAAGAAACTTTGTACTTCTTCAAGATAACAATGTGCCAAAGAAAATGCATACTATTTTTAATCATATTTTCTATTCTACCGACAA